GTTTTAATCATAATTCTTTGTGTATTGCAACAAATTGTGAATTACTATGAAACGGCGAATGAAGATTTCGTCGTTGCATATTGAATACTGACAGTCACATGATGAAGTGAAGAATGCACGAATCTGAGAAGAATACGCAGAATGCCTTTAATTCTAAGGGTGTACGAGAAAAAAGCCAAACAACACTTTTCGCTTTAACCCAAATCGTTTGGAGATTAAAAAAATGCATATTTCGATATGAGAAGATTCATTCTGATACAACGTCAATGTCACGTAATAATAATAATGTTACGCATTCAGTAATAATAAACACAAATCACAACAGCAAAGAAGATCATAATGAGAAATAATTGAAAAAAAACGTTTAATACAGAACATTTTTCCAAGTAATCCGCATCCTCCAACGTCCACGGATGTGCGATAATTCTTTTCAATTGAGTTTTTGCTTTCGGTGTTTGTTTCAAGATCATGTATGCACGTGCAACGCCGAGCACTGCACCAACACTCAGCACCTCCTTCAATTCATCACAAATCAACTCGTTTTTTTTTTCTCATTTCATAATCCGTTTTTCGTCCCCTTTTTCACCGCAACAATACCCATTTTTACAGCTTCTTCCAATTTTCACTGTTTCAGCGTGAAGATGCGCGATTTTTCTCACTGCGGGAATTTTTATTCATTGAATGTGACCCATAAATCGTGATCCTTTTCCTTTTCGATTGCCAGTCAATCGCTATTCATTCATCAGAGGTATCAACGGCCGAAATGAGAAACTTGTTTCGCCGGAGTAGGTGAGCGGAAAACCGAAAGGAACGAAAAAATGCTCGGGTATTTGAGGGAATACGGCATATGGACTGAGAAACTGCATTAAATATAGAGTCAAATCCATGAAGGTATAACCGAGTTCTCAGCACCGGCCATTTCGATGAAATTGTTGAGTGCTTGTTGAACTGTGGAACGATTGTTGCTTGCCAACATGATGAAACTCTCCATCAAACGATACTTGTAGTCTAGTCCTGGCTTGTAACGAAGCTCCTTTAAGATTATAAACATTGCAATATGCAATTGTTCGATTGATTTCAGATTG